GCCAGAGGGGGCCTGGGCGAGGGCAGGGGTTCCCAGGTCCTGCGCAGAGGTGACGGCTCTCTCCCCCGGCAGGTCCTGTCTGTGCCGGGGTCGTAGGGCTGAAGATGCCCCGGTACTGCCTGTTTGGAGACACGGTGAACACAGCCTCGCGCATGGAGTCCAACGGGCAAGGTAAGTCTCCCCCTCAGCGGGCAGCCCAGCCCTATGCCCTGGCATCGCAGCTCACCCATCCCCCTCCCGCTTTCCCTACTCCTGGGCCGCTCCCTGGTGGGTACGGCAATGGGCCCCCGCCCAGCTGCAGGGCAAGTTCAGGGCTGGCCCTCGCTGCCCTATGGCAAGGTGACTTGGAGGCAGCACCATGGGAACTGCCCAGTTGAGCCCATCTAGCCCAGGAACCCCCAGCCCAGATCCAAGCCGTGGGTCCACAGGTGTAGCTCCAGACCCCTTGCTCTGGCCCCTGGTGACTCCTCCCCCTCCTCTGACCCAGCACTGAAGATCCACATCTCGTCCACCACCAAGGAGGTCCTGGATGAGTTTGGCTGCTTCGAGCTGGAGCTCCGAGGTGACGTGGAAATGAAGGTGAGTCTGGGGTCCCGCTCTGCCAGGACCGGTCCCACCAGATGGACGGGGGCAGGGCTGTTGGCATCTCAGTGCTCCTGGGGCACTGGGCATCGGCAGGTGAGCACGGAGCTGGAAGCAGGTGGAGGGGCCAGGTGTGGGGCCAGCAGCCAGGATGCCATGGCCATGGGAATGCACGGACGGGCCCCTGCACAGCTGAGAGCCCAGCAGCCCCTGTGCCAACTTCAGCCACAGCAGCTCTGCCCATGACGGGCACATCTTGGCAGCGGGGAGAGCCCCTCGGGAGCGCACTGCACGGCTTGGAACAGCGGGCACTGCCGAGCTCTCCAATGCGGCATCCCTTCTTGGGGCAGGGAGTGCAGCGGGGCATGGGCGGCCCCAGCTCTGCAGAGGGGAAGCCTGGAGAGGCCTGGCCCCAGCTGCGGGACATGGAGGATGTGGGGCGGGTGAACCCGCCCGGCCGTGGGGCCCAGCCCCAGGCGATGGCTCGGGCCTGACCTGCTCCCCTCTGCCTTCCAGGGGAAAGGGAAGATGCGGACGTACTGGCTGCTGGGCGAGCGGACAGACGACAGCATCATCTGAGGCGGGCCCCTGGGCTGACTCGGGCTCTGCACTGAGCGGGGCTTCGTCACTGAGCTCCGCACGCAGGAGGCTGCGCGCCGTCTCTGAGCACCACTCCCCGGCCGCGGCAGGGAGCGCCCAGCACACAGGTGGCTCCTGGGCTGGCACCGGGCTCTGCCTCCGGACTGCAGGCCCCAACCAACCCAGCCGAGCTCCACGGGCCCTGCTGGCAGACATACACAGCCGTGCTGCCCACCTGGCCCTGCCTGCCCAGCTGCAGTCTCCTTCCACTCAGCCTCCGAGTGCAGGGCCTGGCGGGGATAGCGGGAGCCAGCCGGGCCCACGACCCCACTCGGCTCCTCGGAACCTGGCTGTACCTGGGCTGGCAGGGCCCCGGGCAGCGCCTGAGAACGAGCCCCCGGGGCCCTGAGTCTCTGTAACCTGGTATCCCCTCCCCAGGCTCGGCTGGCTCTGAGCCCCTCAGCCTCGCCACCCCCTGGGCCCAGCCGGCTCTGAGCCCATCCCCCCAGGGGCCTGGCTGCTCCCCCATGGCACTTGGCCTTCTTTCCAGTACTCTGCACCCTCCCCCGAAGTGAGCAAACTGGGGGCTGCTGCCAGGGCTGGCCCTCAGCTGGAGGTGGGGGTGTTCCTCACCCACTGTCCTGTGGCCTGGTTCACACGAGCACGATGCAGCTGCTCACGCCTTCCCTTGTAACTGTCCCGCATTCCTCCCCCTTGCCCTGTAACTACCCAGTGGGCTGGGCAAATGCCCACAGCGTGGCCATGCCCACAGCCTCCCTCCAGTGTACAGATAGGGATCAAACTGTGCAGACGATTGTGTTGAAATACAGACTTCCCGAACCAGACCCTGCACGTCTCTGGGGGGGCTAAGCGGAGAGCACTGCCGCAGTGTGACCCTGGGCGGCTGTCTGGGGGGTGGAGGGAAGCTGGTGCCACCCTGAGCGGAGGGCTGGGGAGACCTGGCCAGTCAGGCTTTTTTGCCTGGCCAGGTAGTTGGTGACCAGCTGCAGGGGCTGCTGTGAACACTGGCTCCTGCATTGTGTGCCGGTTGCCCTGTGTGCAGTGATGCCCTGGGCACGGCCATGCACCCGCCCTCCACCTGGCCAGCCCTGGCAGGAAGGCCATGCAGCAGCCGTGGGCCCCGCCTGGCTCCTGAGTGCAGAGCGGGGCTGGAGGCTGCCTCGCTGCGTCTCCTGGACCACGTTCAGAGAACGGCTCGCTGCCCACACTGGGTTTGCTTTGGCTGGTGGCCGGAGCACTTTCCTGTGAGCTCAGCGCCGGCTTCTCAGCCAGCCCCTTCCTGGAAGGCACCATTGCCCGGAGCACGGCAGCGGCGGGGGCTCTGCCTGGCCCAGGGGCTGGCGGTAATGAGACCACGCACACTTCCCAGAGAGCGTGAGAGGGAGCAGTGGGCCATGACATGGCCAGCCCGAAGTGCAGAAAGAATAGCAAATATGGCAGGCGACCAGCTTGGCTTAACAGTGAAATCTTCAGTGAACTTAAACTTAGAAAGGAAGCTTACAAAAATGGAAACTTGGTCAGATGACTTGGGAGGAGTATCAAAATATTGCTCGAGCATGCAGGGATGTAATCAGGAAGGCCAAGGCACAATTGGAGTTGCAGCTAGAAAGGGATGTGAAAGGGAACAAGAAGGGTTTCTACAGCTATGTTAGCAATAAGAAGAAGGTCAGGGAAAGTGTGGGCCCCTTACTGAATGGGGGAGGCAACCTAGTGACAGAGGATGTGGAAAAAGCTGAAGTACTCAATGCTTTTTTTGCTTCAGTCTTCACAGACAAGGTCAGTTCCCAGACTGCTGCACTGGGCAACACAGCATGGGGAGGAGGTGAGCAGCCCTCAGTGGAGAAAGAACAGGTTAAGGACTATTTAGAAAAGCTGGACGAGCACAAGTCCATGGGTCCAGCTCTAATGCATCTGAGGGTGCTGAGGGAACTGGCTGAGGTGATTGCAGGGCCATTGGCCATTATCTTTGAAAATTCGTGGCGATCAGGGGAGGTCCCAAACAATTGGAAAAAGAAAAATATAGTGCCCATATTTCAAAAAGCGAAGAAAGAGAACCCGGGGAACTACGGACCGGTCAGCCTCACATCAATCTCTGGAAAAATCCTGGAGCAGGTCCTCAAGAAATCCATTTTGAAGCACTTAGAGGAGAGGAAAGTGATCAGGAACAGTCAGCATGGATTCACCAAGGGCAAGTCATGCCTGACCAACCTGATTGCCTTCTATGATGAGATAACTGGCTCTGTGGATATGGGGAAAGTGGTGACATCTTGACTTTAGCAAAGCTTTTGATATGGTCTCCCACAGTATTCTTGCCAACAAGTTAAAAAAGTATGGATTGGATGAATGGACGATAAGGTGGATAGAAAGCTGGCTAGATTGTCGGGCTCAATGGATAGTGATCAATGGCTCCATGTCTAGTTGGCAGCTGGTATCAAGTGGAGTGCCCCAGGGGTCGGTCCTCGGGCCGGTTTTGTTCAATATCTTCATAAATGATCTGGAGGATGGTGTAGATTGCACTCTCAGCAAGTTTGCAGATGACACTAAACTGGGAGGAGAGGTAGATACGCTGGAGGGGAGGGATAGGATACAGAAGGACCTAGACAAATTGGAGGATTGGGCCAAAAGAAATCTGATGAGGTTCAACAAGGACAAGTGCAGAGTCCTGCATTGAGGACGGAGGAACCCAATGCACCGCTACAGACTAGGGACCGAATGGCTCGGCAGCAGTTCTGCGGAAAAGGACCTAGGGGTTACAGTGGACGAGAAGCTGGATAGGAGTCAGCAGTGTGCCCTTGTTGCCAAGAAGGCCAATGGCATTTTGGGATGTATAAGTAGGGGCATTGCCAGCAGATCGAGGGACGTGATCGTTCCCCTCTATTCGGCACTGGTGAGGCCTCATCTGGAGTACTGTGTCCAGTTTTGGGCCCCCACTCCAGGAGGGATGGGGACAAATTGGAGAAGGTCCAGCGGAGGGCAACGAAAATGATTAGGGGGCTGGAGCACATGACTGATGAGGAGAGGCTCGCAGGTCTGGTCTGTCCCATGGGGGGCCAGCAGGGGTGGGCTCCGCTGTGCTGCCCCATCCCCCGCCCATGATGCCAGGAGAGCGAGGATGGGCGAGCCCTGTGCAGGCTCACGGTGCTGTCTGTGCCCATGGGAGGCAGGGCTTAGCTGGCAGCTCTGGTACCCCACCCTGTGCTGCAGTTTCCTGCACCAACCCCAGAGCTGCAAGGAGCTCAGCAAACCTGCCCGCTCCAGCCACCCCATGGCCTGATGGCAGCACCTGCTGCCTCCGCCAGCCCCAATGGCACCAGGGCGAGGGCTGGGCCCTGCCGGCCCCAGTGGGCAGCCATCCCCGCCCTGTAGATCTGCCTGCTACTGCCCCGCACAGCTGCATGAGACTCCTGCAGGGAGGGGGCTCTGGGGAGGCCCTGGCCCCAGGCCAGAAATGGCTGGGACAGGAGCCCCTTGTCCGGGACAATGCCCCCTGGCCAAGCTCCAGCTCACCCAGGCTCCCTGGCCTGTTGCAGTTGGGATCACTGGGCAGGCAGGGCTAACAGGCCCTGCTAAAGGGGGGCAGCCCGGAGTGCTGTCAGGGCCCTGGCTCAGCACAGCACCTCATCCCCCCACCAAAATGCACAGGTGAGGGGGTAGTGGTGCCTGGGGCCCAAGTCCATGCCCGAGTACCCCGCGCCTGCACGGGGCACTACCAGACGCCTTCTGCATCTCACTCCAGCCGTATCTGCCGTGCGCCCTACCCCAATGCACACGCAGCATCCCTCCAGCCCAGTGCAGAGCCCCCAGCGTCACACCAGCCAGCCATTCCCATCTACTCTTTATTGCTCTGCAGGGCCTAGAGTTTGGGGTAGTTCTCTGGGGCGTAGGGCATGGGCTGGTCCAGGTACTCGCTGATGGGGGTGGTGAAGGTTGCGTTCCTCCTAAAGGGGGTGTCACTGGTACGGATGTTGGAGACGCCCTGAAAGAAGAGGAATTGGACAACATCCCAGGTGAACAGAGCAGGACTTTCAGGGAGGGCCTCAGCTGTGGGGATGGGGCAGACATGTCAGGGCTCCCGGCTGGGGGGGATGGGGCCAGAGGCGGCAGGGCCCCCGGCTGAGGGGACGGGGCCAGAGGCGGCAGGGCCCCCGGCTGAGGGGACGGGGCCAGAGGCATGCTGAGGAGAGGAGCAGGAGTCACTCCACGCCCCTGCCCGCGGGGGTGGCTGCCAGTCTGTTGGGTCAGGCCCAGCCCTGCCAGCAGCCACATGGGATGCAGGTGGGAACGGCTGAGCTGCTGGGGCACTCGCTTGCTGCCCGCAGACAGCCTGGCTGGCGCAGACCAGGGGTACTTACAGGCAGCTGGCGGACGCTCTCCAGCCAGAAGGTGTGGGGCTGCTCCAGGCGATAGTCATGGGGCTGGGAGAAGCACAAAGGCAGAGCATGCCCATCAGCAGGGAGCTGCATCCCCCAAGGCTTCCCGTGCTCCTGCGATGGGCGCTTGGCTTGCCCTGCTGAGGACCCACAGGGGAGTCTCCATGGCCATGGCAAATCCCAGCCTCCCCGAGGGCACCACCCACGCTGGGGGGCACTGCCGAGTGGGCAGCACTTGAGCCTGCAGCTCAGGCCCTCCGTGCTGGCTGTGATGCCGAGCGCCAGGAACAGCAGGGGCTGAATCACCCCTGCTGGGAGAGGGCAGGTGGCAGGTCCCTGCCCTGGCCATGTACCCTGCCATATGCCCATCCAGCTACCCACTCTGCCCAGCTCCTCCTCTCCGCCCCAGTCCATGGACCTGTCACTATCCCACCCACCCTGTACCCCCCTCCTTCCCCTGCAGGCTGAGCAGCGACGCTGGGGGCGGCTGACGGTGCGGAGCCCTGGGCCCAGGTCTCACCCTGGTGGGGGGCGGCAGCTCAGCCCGGAAGCCCTCCTTGCGGTAGTCCCAGTGGGTGGTGGAGAGTGACTCCATGGGCCCGGCGGGAGGGTAAAGCTCCGTCAGGGTCTCCTTCCTGCAGAGAGACGCTGGGGTTACCGAGGGACGGGGCTGCAGCGCCCACCGGCTCCCCTGCCACCCTGGCCCAGCCAGTGGGCCCCGTGGGAAAGTTCTGCAACCACAGGGGACCCAAGCTGCAAAGAGCCCCGCCCCACGGGGAGGAGCCTGCACAGAGTTCTCACCTGGCCCCAGCCCAGGGGAGGAGTCTGTGAAGAGCCCCACCCCCAGGGGAGCAGCCTAGGCAGGCGCCCGCCCCCGCACAAGGGTGGTGGAGTGGGGGGAGTGTTGATGTGCTCGGGAGCAGGGCGTGGCTCTGCCCTGGGGGTCACACGGGCGCCGGCTGCAGGGCGCTGGCTGGGGAAGCAGCAGAGTGGGGCATGTCAGGCTGGCCGGCAGCCTCCCAGGGGCTGGCCGGAGCCTGGGGGCAAGGCCGACGTCCTCTCTGTTCCAGCAAGCCAGTGCCCCCGCCGCATCATGCAGGCCCTGGCTGGGCCGTGCCCCCAGGGCTCCCACTAGTCAGGTGCCCAAAGCCACTGGCCATCCCCTGCGCCCCCGAAGAACAGCTCTCTCCGGGGCTCCACAGGCCAGCTGGGACACCCCACCAGCATTTAGCAGCCTCTGCCCCTACTCGGCCTCCAGCTGCCACCCCCCAGCCAGGCCCATGGCCACCCGGGCGTTTCCCTCCCCCTGGGCATTGGCTACAACTGGTACCCCCAGTGCTCCCCTGGCCCCCGCCTGCTCACACTGCCCCTGGGGGGAGCGCTGCCCCCCAGACTCCTAATCTCTCCTGCTGTCTCTGCTTTCCCAGGCTCACAACAATGGCTTCCCTTATCACAGGGCCCGGGGGAGCGGGCCAGCACATGGGCCCCAGACGCTATCACAAAGGAAAAGCAACAGGAAACCCCCCCAGGCCTGGAGCATGACGCAGCCCAGCGGCTCAGCACAGGGCGCAGGCGAGGAACAAGGAGGCCTCAGGCCTGAATCTGAGCCGGACTCGCCTCTGGCTGGGGTCAGCATGTGTTGGGCTGAACCAGGAACCAGCCGGCATGGCCCCAGGCCCTTTGCAGCAGTGACCCACCTCAGTGAGCCCGACAGCCGCCCCGCAGGGGTGCTGCAGTCCAGACAGGCACCCGGCACTGCTGGAGTCTGGGCCACGCTGAGCGCTCACCTGGTGGGGCCGGGGCCAGCCAAGTGTCTCATAACCCCCCTCCAGGCTGAGCACCCGTCTGGGCCGGGCAGCCTCAGGAGGGGTCTTGCTGGTCTGGGGCTCTAGGTATGCGGGATAACACTGCATGTGAGACAGGCACAACCCCTCCCCAGTCCCTGCCCCCAGTCTGGCTCCCCCAGCACCTCAGAGATCAGGACCTGGATATAAGGACCCCTTCCCTGGCCCCATAGAGCGCCCTGGGAAACCACAACCAGGGGCTGGCAGAGCCAAAGGAGACTACAGGAGCTGTGGAAATCTGTGGGGGCCATACCCAGGGCTGGGGGCGGGAATCCAGGGCAAGCAGCGCCCAGCAGGGGCAGGAGGCACAGGAATGTTGGCAGTGCCAGGGCAGCGAGCTAGCAGCCCTCAGCCAAGCAGCACAGCGGGGGCAATTCCACAGGCTCCTCTCCCGCACCGGCTGCTCAGCGCTCGCGTCTCTGCCGCAGCTGGCACCCAGCCTCCCCGCCGGGGGCCGGACTCTGCTAGCGGGACTCCGGCCAGCACGCTGAGACCAGCAATGGACACACTGCAGTGCCAGCGGAGACTCAGTCGGAGGCCACACGGCCCCCGGGGGCGGGCGGGCAGGCTAGAGCTCGGGTGGGTAGCCCAAGCCTCTGCCACTTTTCCACACTGCAATTCTCAGCGGGCTGGCAACGGCTGCTCCCCGGGCTGGAGATCCATCTCCCGCTGCAGCATAGACCCAGCCAGAGTGCCCAGTGCAGCTGGCACTTCCCCCATGGCTGCCAGGCACAGGCGCCTCCCGAGACGGGGCCCTGCTCCCTGCACGGCCCAGCTGAGCTAGGGGCCTGGGGAGAGTGAGGCAGCTCCAGGGAGAAGAGCTTGGCTGGGGAGCAGCCTGCTCATTGCCAGCCCCGCACTGCCCTACCCGCCCTCCCTGCTGGGAGCCTGAGCGTGGGCAGGGAAAGGGCAGCAGGCTCACCTGTATTTCTGGTACAGCATTAACTCCAGCATGGCCTCCCGCTGCCCTGCAGGGAGAGACGGGGCACGTCAGTGCTTGGGGACTGGCCTGGGCACTGTACTGCAGCCCCTGGAGTCAGAGCCCCTGCCAAGGCAGCGGTGTGGGGTGGGCTGGGAGGCCAAGAGAAAACACACAGGCAGCCTGCAAGGCACAGGGAGTACCATGGCCAGATAGGGAAGGGCAGCAACCTCGATCCACAGATACAGCGCCAGGCGCCTGAGACCCAGAGCGAGTCATCCTGCCCAGCCGCGAGCAAGGCCTGCAGCTGCCTCTCAGGGGAGCTGTCATCAATATAAAGGGAAGGGTAAACACCTTTAAATCCCTCCTGGCCAGAGGAAAAACCCTTTCATCTGTGAAGGGTTAAGAAGCTAGGATAACCTCGCTGGCACCTGACCACAATGACAAATGAGGAGACAAGATACTTTCAAAAGCTGGGGGGAGGGAGAAACAAAGCCTCTCTCTGTCTGGGTGATGCTTTTGCCGGGGACAGAACAGGAATAGAGTCTTAGAACTTAGTAAGTAATCTAGCTAGAGATGCGTTAGATTCTGTTTTCTTTAAATGGCTGAGAAAATAGCTGTGCTGAATGGAATGGATATTCCTGTTTTTGTGTCTTTTTGTAACTTAAAGTTTTACCTAGAGGGATTTTCTGTGTTTTGAATCTAATTACCCTGTAAGGTATTTACCATCCTGAGTTTACAGAGGTGATTCTTTTACTTTTTCTTCTATTAAAATTCTTCTTTTAAGAACCTGATTGCTTTTTCATTGTTCTTAAGATCCAAGGGTTTGGGTCTGTGATCATCTATGTAAATTGGTGAGGATTTTTATCAAACCTTCCCCAGGAAAGGGAGTGTAGGGTTTGGGGAGGATTTGGGGGGGAAAGATGTTTCCAAGCGGGCTCTTTCCCAGTTCATAGAATCATAGAATATCAGGGTTGGAAGGGACCCCAGAAGGTCATCTAGTCCAACCCCCTGCTCGAAGCAGGACCAATTCCCAGTTAAATCATCCCAGCCAAGGCTTTGTCAAGCCTGACCTTAAAAACCTCTAAGGAAGGAGATTCTACCACCTCCCTAGGTAACGCATTCCAGTGTTTCACCACCCTCTTAGTGAAAAAGTTTTTCCTAATATCCAATCTAAACCTCCCCCACTGCAGCTTGAGACCATTACTCCTCGTTCTGTCATCTGCTACCATTGAGAACAGTCTAGAGCCATCCTCTTTGGAACCCCCTTTCAGGTAGTTGAAAGCAGCTATCAAATCCCCCCTCATTCTTCTCTTCTGCAGTTATATATCTGTTAGACTTTTGGGGGTGGCAGCGATAAAGTACAAGGGCAAAAGCTAAAATAGTTTGTACCTTGGGGAAGTTTTAACCAAAGCTGGTAAAAGTAAGTTTAGAAGGTTTTCATGCAAGTCCCCACATCTGTACCCTAGAGTTCAGAGTGGGGTACGAACCTTGACATGGTGGCAGAGCGGTGGGATTAACTTGAAATCACTTTGAGATCAATTTGAGATTTTTTGAACCAGAAGCACAGATTTTAAAAAGGGAATTTTTTTTCCTTTGGGCTGCTGGAAAGCAGGTTTTCAGCTGAAAGCAGTTAGAGGTTTTTTTTTTTTCTCTGCTTGGGGGCCAGAGCAGAGACAAAAGGGAATTGTCTTTTGTGAGCTGGAGTTTTCTCTACCTAAAGGCAGGGTAGTTCACCTCCTGCAGGGAAATTCACAAGTCTTCACAGACCTGAAGTTTTGTTTTTTTTTTTTTCTTTTTTTTTTTTTTCTAAGAGCAACTAGAGGGGTTTTCTACCTATTTGCCTTTCAATTTTTAATTTGGAGACAAAGGTGTTAGGTTGGGTTTTTTTTAAGTATTTCTCTGTAGGCTGACAATCACTATCAGAGAACCTAGGTATCCGGACAGCACAGCAAAATTTTACAAGCCAAGGTTTTTTTGTTTGTTTGTTTTCTTTCTAACTCTCGGGTGTAAAGTTAGTTAAAAACAGAGAGGTTAGGATGACAGACTGCACTGTTCAACAAAAGCTGGAATTAGCCAGATTTGAGGCTGAGGAAAAACAAAAGGAACATGAAAGACGGATAGAACTCATACGGATGGAGATGGATGCACACACGGCCAGAGAAAAAGAAATGAAGGCTGCCCACAAGAGAGAAATGGAGGCAAGGGAAAAAATAATGGAGGCAAGGAACAAAGAACTGGAGGAGAAGGAAAAAGAGAGGAAGCATGCACTGGAGATGGAGAAGGCTCAGCGGAATATATAAACAAACCCTAAAAAGAAAAGGAGTACTTGTGGTCTCTAAGGTGCCACAAGTACTCCTTTTCTTTTTGCGAATACAGACTAACACGGCTGTTACTCTGAAACCAAACAAACCCTAGCAATCCTTCTCTAGGTACCCCTTCCCATCCCAGAAAGTTCCCCACCTACAAGGCAGGCGATGATACCGAGGCCTTCTTAGAAAACTTCGAAAGGGCCTGCCTTGGGTACAGCATCCCTGCAGACCAATACATGGTAGAGCTGAGGCCACAGCTCAGGGGACCCTTAGCTGAGGTGGAGGCTGAAATGCCTAAGGAACACTTGAACCAGTATGAACTGTTTAAAACCAAGGCGAGAGTCAGAATGGTGCTAATCCCCGAGCATTCCCGTCGGCGATTCAGAGCCCTAAGGTGGAAACCAGACGTGTCATTTACCCGACATGCCTACCACATTGTGAAACATTGGGATGCCTGGATATCAGGAGCAAGTGTTAAATCTGCAGAAGATTTGCCCTTCCTAATACAAATGGAGCAGTTCTTAGAGGGTGTTCCTGAGGAAATAGAAAAATACATCCTAGATGGGAAGCCCAAAACTGTAATCGAGGCGGGGGAGATTGGAGCCAAATGAGTGAAGGGGGCAGAAAAGAAAAAAACTGGTCGCAGTTGGAGCGGATACCAGAAGGGACAACCTCAGACCACACCCTACTACCGGGGGAGCCCAAGGCCCCACCTACCCCCCAAGGAACCCTCCAGCCACCTTATCATCCCGCACAGGGACAGGTGAGTGGCCCAGGGTGCTGCACCACCCCACCTCCACACTGGAGCACATGGAACCACATCCCTGCGCCCCCTTGCCCAGCTGCTCCAGGCCCCAAGGCCTCACCTCTCCCAGGCAGCCCAGTCCTTCGGGGGCTGCGGTAGGAATCCTTCATGGTGGTGCGGTCAGCCAGCTGCGCGAGGAGCTGGAGGGTGAGCAGCCCGCGGTGGCCGTGCCGGTAGAAGAAGCCCTCGCTGCCCAGCTCTGGACTCGGCACTTGGTCCAGCTCGTTCGTGGCTCTCTGGAAACAAGCAGCAGCAGCACAAAGTCCAAGGTGGGGAGGGCACAGCTAGCCCTGGCCCCAGCTCTGGCCCCAGCCTCCCACGCCAAAGGGGACGGCTTCCCTCAACGCCTGTAGGGCAGCGCGGCCTGTGGAGACTGCAGCACCCAGCGAGGCAGCCTGCCAAGGGGACGGCTCTGAGGGCGGCTCACCCCAAGCCCAGCTCCTTCTCCAGCTTCCTCTGCTCCCCCAATCCCCGAGGAGCTCCGAGACACAGTGCTTCTGTGCCAACGCCTGCTAATGCCAGGACTGTGCCCTCAGCGGGGGCTGCCACAGGGCCAGGGCCATGCAGACCCCTCCTCGCAGCGAGACGTGCTGCACAGATACAGCCTCCCACCAACACCAGAGCCCAGCAGGAGCCCTGAGAGCAGCAGCTCAGTGACCGCAGGGTGGAGCAGGGACTGAGACAGGGGCACTCTCTCCTGCAGGGTCCAGAACTCGAGGACTCGCCAGAGACACTCTCAAAAGGGGAAGAGGGAAACCAGCCCTTGACCCTGGGGAAGAAAAAAGGTGCAGATGGCATCAAACTGTCCAGCCCGTCCCCGCCCTCCACTGGGGGTCACACCCCACTGTTCCTCTCTCTCCCTCAGATCCCCCTGCTACAATCCCGAGTGACCCCTCCTATGCCAGCACCCCTGGGTGCCTCCTTTACAGTCTGCAGGTATCCACAAGGGAAACAAATATTGACTAGTGGCTCTTCAGTCTAGCAGAGTAAGGTGTAACGTGATCCAGCAGCTGGCAGTTGAAGCCAGACACATTCAGACAGGGACTCAGGTGTAAGTAGAAAGAAAAGGAGTACTTGTGGCACCTTAGAGACTAACCAATTTATTTGAGCATGAGCTTTCGTGAGCTGAAGTGAAGTGATGAAGGGAGCTGTAGCTCACGAAAGCTCATGCTCAAATAAATTGGTTAGTCTCTAAGGTGCCACAAGTACTCCTTTTCTTTTTGCGAATACAGACTAACACGGCTGTTACTCTGAAACCTATCAGGTGTAAGTGTTTCGCAGTGAGGGGAATTAACCATTGGAGCCATTTACTGAGCATCGTGGGGGATGCTCCATCACTGACCCTTGTAACCCAAGATAGGATGTTTTCCTAAAAGCTGGCTGCTCTCCTTCAAACAGGAATTAATGCAGAGAAGTTCTCCAGCCGCTGTTAGACCGCAGGTCGGGTCAGTCCTAGGGCCTGTGCCATAGAGGGGGTCACACTGGTCCTATGGCCTGTGCTGTGCAGAGGTTCAGACCAGTCCTAGGACCTGTGCTGTGCAGGGGGTCAGGCCGGTCCTAGGGCCCGTGCTGTGCAGGGGGGTCGGACTGGATGATCACACTGGAGTCTAGGATTTATGATGTTAAACTGGCATCAGGGTACTGGACCCTCCCACCCTGGAACTCAATTCACTGAGCCACGATGGGCCTGATGAGTGGAATAAGTGCTGCCATAGCATAAAAGACACAGCTCCTTTGAGCCTCTGAACACAAAGGGCCAATCCCCACACACCCAGTGGCTCTTATCATGGCAGGCACTGGGGCTATAGGGAGGATAGGACCCCCCACAGGGAAGCCCATCCTGGCCGGTGCTGAGTGTACAGGGTTGGGACCATACGCACACTGCCAGCCCTGTCCGGGGGGGCGCTGATGTTGACATTTCAATAATGAATGAGATGTTAGGTTGGGTGGAGATCAGCCATGTGGGGCCTTGAAAGTACAGACAGGCAGCTTAGGTTGGCCGGGGGAGGTAGTGGAGGGGTGACGCAGGACAAGTGATGGGCTAGGAGAAGGACCTGGGTAGCCGCATTCCGAGTGGATCCAAGTGGGGCAGGACTGCACTGTCAAGGCCAGAGAGAGGGATGCGAGGCACTGGGATCCCGGAGGAGAGCTTTCGCTGTGTGGATGGACAGGAAAGACTGGGTCTTCCAGATGGGATGCAGAAAGAATCAGCAAGATGTAGACCTAGCCTGAGTGCGAGGACCTAGAGAGGTGCCTGAGTGGAGGTTACGGCCCCGGGCAGCAGGCAGGATGGTGCGTCCTACCAAACTCTGCCTGGGGGGTGTCTGATAAATGTGACCTCCCACCAGGACTGGCTCCAAGCCACCGGCACCATTCAGCACAAGACACTGCCATAGGACTCCATACCACCCCCACTGCTCACAGGGAGGGCGAAGCAGCCATGACACTGACCAGAGTCTTGGGAAGCCCAGAGCAGCAGCAGCAGCCGCAGGGGCCTACAGACTCAGGCAGACACTAGGCATTGGTCTGACCTGTACGGGGGGGAATCAGGCTAGATGGGCCCTGATGCAGAGTGCAGGAGATGGGGAGATAGTGGCCTAGCCGGGCCATGCCAGGGTGGGGTGATGCCAGGCTGGTGGCCACAGGGCAGTTATGTAGGGACATCACAGTGCTTTGCATCAATGTGGCATTGTCTGTGCTGTTGTGTAAATACCAGCAGGCAGCTGCTTTGCTGCAAACAGATGGGGGATTACCTCCTCCTGCCAGTTATGGACAAGGCATTTCCCTCGGGACTCAAGCCGCGGTTGCTCCTCAGGCATCTCAGCCTTGCTGGGCAGCATGTCGACCATGCAGGGCAGCAGCATTCCAAGGCTGCCCCCCGGCTCTCCATGGCAGGGTGGCATCTCAACCAGACAGGGCTCCATCTCAGCCTTGCTGGGTGGCATTTCTCCAGGCATCTCTGCCACGCAGGGCAACAGCTCTCTGTGGCAGGGCGGCATCTCAGCCATACTGGATGGCATCTCTCCGTTGCTCACTGGCAGCTCTCTCTGGCTGTGCAGCAAGGCTTGCTCTGTGAGAGCTGAGCTGGCGTACGAGGAAGGAGAAAGTGCTGTCATTTACACTGTGGTCCCAGCACAATGGGCTCACAATCAACGTCTACTCTCCACAGCAAACACCATCTCACCCTCAGCCCAACCCAGAGACCCAGCAAGACCAGGGCCTAGGTGCACCTTGATGCAGAGGTCCCTGGGGCTCTACCTATGCAGCCTTGCCCCATGCTATGGCCCTCCCCACTCTGGTCCCGCCATCCTCAGAACAATGGTGGTAGCAGGGATCCCGTTCTCCCCCACAATGAGGCAGGAGCTGCAGCAGGGCCCCTCTCCCTTCAGGAGCACCAGGGTTTCCTGTTCCCTCCTGGAGAGGCAGGGTGTGAGGAAATTGGAATTTTCTGTAATATTTTTGAGAGGCCTGTGTGCCTCAGTTTCCCCTGTGTGCTGCATCATTGCCAAGTGGGTAACAAAGGGCTGTTCGGTCTAGGGTGGGCTAAGAGACACAGGTGTGTCTGATGACATCTGATGACATACATCTGATGAAGTGAGCTGTAGCTCACGAAAGCTCATGCTCAAATAAATTGGTTAGTCTCTAAGGTGCCACAAGTACTCCTTTTCTTTTTACAGGTGTGTGTGTGTCACCAAGCTGTCTGGGCCTTGGTCCCCTCATCAGGAGAGCATTTGAGAAAACAATGGCAACTCCAATCCCTCAGACATTGACTCCCAGTGACCAAGGCCCCAGAGGGATCTGGATTTCCCCATCTCTCAGCAGGGAGGCTGAGCAACTTTTCCCAGCTGGAGAACAAAGGACTGGGGAGGTATGAGATGGGGGATCAGAGCTGGCAGGAGCCGGGCTCTCCCTGGAGTCTGACCTACGAGGTCAGATGGTGAGACAGGGCAGGAGTGCAAGTAGGGCGGTACCCTCCAGTACTGGCAAGAGATTTTGAGGGGTACAGCGTACTGGAAAGACTTGGAGCTAGCCCCCACTCCGGAGGGGGAGTGGGGCTGCACTCTGCTCCTTAAAGGAGCAGAATGCTGTTAGGGAGGGGATTCATTCTTTAAATGGCTTTAACAGCACAATACATACGCTAACAAACTTCAACAAAGTCAGGAGTCCTCAAGAGGGGTGGGGGGAGGATGGGTGTTTAAACAGTGTTTTTGATTCTGTTTCTCCCCACTGGTCTGAATTATCCATGACGTCCATACTGCATCACATCAAGTCCAAATCATTCGAGGAATGCCTCTGCTTGCACTGACCAGAGGATGTTTGGATTCTGATGTCAGCCCAGTTCTGCAGCCTGACGGGAATCAGGTGTTGTCCCCAGTGTACAAAGAATTCTTCTTTGCAGCCAAACTAGTCTAACATGCATTTTGTTAACTGGAACTGGAGCAGCAAAACCAAGAAAACAAATGCCTCATTTTCCAGCTTTGTGGGTGAGAGAACTATAAGTGAAGAGTATAATGCCGGACACTGACAGCCTTAAACCAGCTGCCTCAGGAATCTGCCAAGAACTTTGCTGACAATATGTTCCTCATCTTAGCAATGGAGCTAAGGCATCACACATCTGCCCACCTTTATTCAAATGAAGCTCCTTCTGATCTGACAGTTCAGGCATTGTCAGTTTCATCCAGAACAATTTACAAAAAGGGATAGAGAATAAGACGGAGAACATCTTATTGCCCTTATATAAATCACATGCTCCCCACCCCTTGTGTCCCTCCCATGAGTGCAGTACCAGCAAGAAATGATTTCTACTTGCACTACTGCCCACCGGGTTCCCTACAGCTTGGCTGGGCTCTGGGCTGACCAGACTGGACGATGCTCCAACTGTCAGTTCTCTGGGCTACCCTGAGGGCTCCCTGTGCTGTGTCCAGATGACTGATCGACCCGACGGCTCTGGCAGCGCTGTGGGAATGTCACTGCAGATGCTGGGCGAGCTGCATTAATCCCTGCGGAGTGGACAGGTCTCCACTGGGCTCTGTCTCAGTGGGACTCACTGAGCGGAGCTCATGGGGTGGAGCAGGGGGGCTGCAGGCCCAGAGGTCCAGTCTCAAGAGGTGGTGAAGCCAGAGGAAGAGTGAGACTTCCCAGGGGTATGGCCCACTGACGGACTCCTCCTAGAGACTGTTCCAAAGCTGGTGACACAGTTCCAGTCCTGTGGGTCTGTGACACGGGGTAGCAGCAAGGAGGTCCCCCAGCATTCACAACCCCAGCTTCTGAGATATCTGCTTTGATAGGAGCCATGCCCCTGTGCTATTCCCCACCTGCAATGTTCAGATCCCTCTGCTGGGGTGGGGCTGGCAGAGCATCTGACACCCCACTGAGATGCATAGGGAACTTCCCCCGTCACAGCAATCGTCTCAGACTCAGGCAGACAGGACTCATCGATTCCACCAGTCCCAGCTCCCCCCGTCAGAGCGATCGGCTCAGGCTCTCTGCAGACGCAGGCAGCATCGCTGCAACGCTCACCCTGGGTCAGTGTCAAGCTTTACTTTATGGCTGCAAAAGCCAGAAACTTCCCTTCTTTAAATGAAAGCTGAAGTTGTGCTGTGGTGGTGTGACGAAGTGGGACTGTTCTTAATGTTTCCTCTGAATAGTGTGGGGGTGCCTCAGTTTCCCCTAGGCAGTTCTTAAGTATCTAGGTGGTGGGGTAAGGGTGTATGATCATTGCAGTGCCCTAGAGGGCATGTGTGTCAGGAGTCTGGACACAGAGAATGGCCGACACCCTGTTTCCTGGCAACTGATGGCCTGGGCCCTTCCCCCCTGCAAGGTGAGAGCTGAAGGGTTGGAGAACAAAGGAATCAGGTGACCTCCTGGCCCGGGAAAGGAACAAAGCCCAGAGGAGGAGGGGCTGGAGGGGTTTTTCAGTTTGGGGCTGGCTGGGACATGGAGTGAAGTGCAGACGTGGTTGTCTGGCTCACTGCCCCCCAGAATGGACCCAGCTGAGGGGTCCCGTTCTCTGCACCTGCAAGCTCTGTTTTAGACCATTTCCTGTCGTCTAATAAACCTTCTGTTTTACTGGCTGGCTGAGAGTCACGTCTGACTGCGGTTGGGGTGCAGGACCCTCTGGCTTCCCCAGGAGCACGCCTGCGGACTCGCTGTGGGAAGCGCACGGAGAGCAGAGGATGCTGAATGCTCCGAGGTCAGACCCAGGAAGGTGGAAGCTGTGTGAGCTGTGTGTCCTGAAGACAGGCTGCTCACAGAAAGGCGACTACCCCAGAGTCCTGACTGCTTCATGGGGAGCATTCAGAGCATCCAGGAACCCGTGACAACTGGTGGCAGCGGTGGGATCTACTGCACCCCGTGGATGGCGCTTCCTGCAGTAAGTGACTGGGGAGCAGTAACCGAAGGGGGATTGCCGAGACCAGGCCTGCTGAAGGCTCAGAGAGGAGCGGTTTCGGGGGCGGTTAACCCCTGGGAGTGTGTGACCAGCGAAGTACTGTGCAGTAATGGGGTCCCCCTGGGGACTGCAGTGAGCAGTCTCAGGGCGGAGGAGTCTGCAGCTCACCCTGGCAAAGAGGTGGTGACCTTGAGAAGGGCTGGCACACTAGGGGTTCTCCCTGAAACCGTGGGGAGCTGAGAACACAGGGCCTGTGAGTCCACAACAACTTGGGAGGAGCGGAGTGATGGCCTTCACCGTCTCCTTAAGAAGGACATTGTAACCCTGTGCAGAAAGAGAGGGTTGAGCATTGGAAAGTTCACCAAAGCAGAGTTAATCGTGCAGCTGGAGGAGGATGACCGCTCTAAGGAACAGATTCCTGACCCCAACTGGGGCTATAGCAGGATCTGGGAGCAGCTGAAGCGGGAGCCAGGCATCGCCAAGACTCCTGTCCCCACCAGACGAGGGTCTTCACGATCAGGTTCCCCATCGGGGGATCGAGACGGACGGGATTGGAGCTGAGTCTGAGAGAGCAAGAGGACCGTGGGAGACAGCGAGAGCCCGAGAAAGAGCTGCAGAAGCAGCGCAGATGAACTGGCGGTGGTGGGGCGGAGAGGCCTGGGGACCTCCCGGGGTGAGTGGGGATAGATCCCGGGGGCCAGTTCCGCAGGGAACCTCGAGACTAAATTGCTGCCCCTGGTTAAGGAGGGGGGTGTGGATGCCCACCTCACTGCCTTTGAGCAGGCTGGCGATTTGAACCAAGGGGACCCTGCGGAAAAGCCCCGGTGTCTAGCTCCCTTGCTGGGTCCCAAGGCCATAGACTCCGTCAGCCAGGTGGTTGGGGATGTGGACAGGCTCCCACTCCTGACCCCAACCTATATGTCTGTGTGGAGTTTCCTGGGGCCAGGCCCCCGGACCTCCAGTGGGAGTAGAAGGTGATGGTCAATGGGGAGACATTCTTGGGGTGGCCAAAGGGCATGGGCTGCATAAACCTTCCCACATGCGGCCTGCGAGTGCTATCGACCACCCCTGACCTAAGGGAGGGCGTGAAACTGGAAGGGCCTGGTGTAACTCCTACCAAGGAATGGGAGAGATGCTGGGGCATCCATGGGAACGTTGGTGGCTTCGAACTTCCCCAGGTCACCGGCTAAAGTGACCCCGCTCAGTTCGATCTCGAAGGGGGAGAGATGTGACGAAGTGGGACTGTTCTTAATGTTTCCTCTGAATAGTGTGGGGGTGCCTCAGTTTCCCCTAGGCAGTTCTTAAGTATCTAGGTGGTGGGGTAAGGGTGTATGATCATTGCAGTGCCCTAGAGGGCATGTGTGTGCAGGAGTCTGGACACAGAGAATGGCCGACACCCTGTTTCCTGGCAACTGATGGCCTGGGCCCTTCCCCCCTGCAAGGTGAGAGCTGAAGGGTTGGAGAACAAAGGAATCAGGTGACCTCCTGGCCCGGGAAAGGAACAAAGCCCAGAGGAGGAGGGGCTGGAGGGGTTTTTCAGTTTGGGGCTGGCTGGGACATGGAGTGAAGTGCAGACGTGGTTGTCTGGCTCACTGCCCCCAGAATGGACCCAGCTGAGGGGTCCCGTTCTCTGCACCTGCAAGCTCTGTTTTAGACCATGTTCCTGTCGTCTAATAAACCTTCTGTTTTACTGGCTGGCTGAGAGTCACGTCTGACTGCGAAGTTGGGGTGCAGGACCCTCTGGCTTCCCCAGGAGCACCGCCTGAGCGGACTCGCTGTGGGAAGCGCACGGAGAGGCAGAGGATGCTGAATGCTCCGAGGTCAGACCCAGGAAGGTGGAAGCTGTGTGAGCTGTGTGTCCTGAAGACAGGCTGCTCACAGAAAGGCGACTACCCCAGAGTCCTGACTGACTTCATGGGGAGCAGTTCCAGAGCATCGCCCAGGAACTCCGTGACAGGTGGCCGGGCCCCTGCGGCTTGATCCAGCCCAGCTCATGTCCCCCCCATCTCCAGATACTCCTGACACCCTGACCCTAAATCCCACACATGCCCTAGGCCCTTCTCGTGCTCTGTGCCCCACACCAGGCCCCGCCTCCACATGCCCTGTGCCCCACACCAGGCCATGCCCCCACGTCCCCTGTTCCCCACACCAAGCCACGCCCCCACGTGCACTGTGCCCCACACCAAGCCACACCCCCACATCCCCTGTGCCCCACACCAGGCCACGCCCCCACGTGCCCTGTGCCCCACACCAAGCCACGCCCCCACGTCCCCTGTGCCCCACACCAGGCCACGCCCCCACGTGCCCTGTTCCCCACACCAAGCCACGCCCCCACGTGCCCTGTGCCCCACACCAGGCCACACCCCCACATCCCCTGTGCCCCACACCAGGCCACGCCCCCACGTGCCCTGTGACGCACACCAGGCCACGCCCCCACATGCCCTGTGCCCCATACCAGGCCACGCCCCCACGTGCCCTGTGCCCCACACCAAGCCACGCCCCCACGTGCCCTGTGCCCCACACCAAGCCACGCCCCCACGTGCCCTGTGCCCCACACCAGGCCACGCCCCCACGTGCCCTGTTCCCCACACCAGGCCACGCCCCCACGTGCCCTGTGACGCACACCAGGCCACGCCCCCCACGTGCCCTGTGCCCCACACCAAGCCATGCCCCCACGTGCACTGTGCCCCACACCAAGCCACACCCCCACGTCCCCTGTGCCCCGCACCAGGCCACGCCCCCACGTGCACTGTGCCCCACACCAAGCCACACCCCCACGTGCCCTGTGCCCCACACCAGGCCACGCCCCCACGTCCCCTGTTCCCCACACCAAGCCACGCCCCCACATCCCCTGTGCCCCACACCAGGCCACGCCCCCACGTGCCCTGTTCCCCACACCAGGCCCCACGCCCCACCACGCCCCCTGCCCTGTTCCCCACACCAAGCCACACCCCCACGTCCCCTGTGCCCCACACCAGGCCACGCCCCCACGTCCCCACACCAGGCCACGCCCCCCCGTCCCCTGTGCCCCACACCAGGCCACGCCCCACCCCACGTGCCCTGTGACGCACACCAGGCCACGCCCCCACATGCCCTGTGCCCCATACCAGGCCACACCCCCACGTCCCCTGTTCCCCACACCAAGCCACGCCCCCACATCCCCTGTGCCCCACACCAGGCCACGCCCCCACGTGCCCTGATCCCAACACCAAGCCACGCCCCCCCACGTGCCCTGTGACGCACACCAAGCCACGCCCCCACGTGCCCTGTGCCCCACACCAGGCCACGCCCCCACGTGCCCTGTGCCCCGCACCAGGCCACGCCCCCAACACTGGGCCCTGCCCCCACTTCCCCCGTGCCCCGCCCCCACCTGCCCTTAGCCCAACGCCAGCCCCACACAGCGCTACCTTTGATCCATTTGAACTCTGACCCCACCCATGACCCCGTGACCCCGGCATGGCCCCCTCACCCCTGCGGGCTCCCGTCCTCGCGCGGCCGCTCTCGCTCCATCTCGGGGCAGCCAATCACTTCTGCGCCTGCGCAGGCAGCCTCGCTGTCTCCATGGGGACAGTAAACAGCGTGGGGGCGAGCCTTCCAAGTGCGCATGCGCTGACGGCCCCACCGGCCCTGTCTCCTAAGCGACGGGACGCCACCCGCCCATTGGCTGAACGGAGCACGTGCCATCTTAGAAGCACCTCCCATTGGGCGGCTGCCGGGCGAGCATCTGACTCCAGCACGGCCCCCCCTCCCCGCGTGGGCTCGGGGGGCGGGGCTCCAGCGACCCCCCCCTCGGCCCCGGCTTGCGCTGGGCCCCGCCCCCTGCTGCAAAGACCCGTCCGGGAGCCGCCGGGCAGGGCGGGGCCAGGCGGGAAGGGGCGGGGCCTATGGGCGGGGCCAGGCGGGAAGGGGCGGGGCTTGTGGGCGGGGCCAGGTGGGAAGGGGAGGGGTCAATGAGCCGGTTCAGCAAGAAGGGGCGTGGCGAAGCTGGGGCTGTTGCAGCAGGACATATCCCTGGCTGTCTTTGGGCCAGGGTGGGGGGGAACCAGTCCCTTCCCCTTGTTAACTCTGAACCCTACTGATGGCGCAGTGACAATGTCCCTGCCCAGCTTGCAGAGCCCAGGGAAGGGCAGGGTGCTGGGGTGGGCGCCTGCAGCCCTGGGGTGTGGTGAGGCTGTCCCCGGCACACCCACCCCCAGCCTCTTGTTTTAGCCTCGGCTGGGCGTGCTGCGGGGCAGGTGCTGTTTCGGGCCACATGCCTGTGCAGCACCCGATGGCACCCGTATGCTGCCTGCGGCCTCCAGCTGCGCCAGTAGCCCAGCTGTGAGCAGCCCTGCTCTGAGTCCCGGGCCTCCCTCACTCCAGTAAGGAAAGCCAGGCAAGCCATCCGCTCTAAGGCAAATGGGATCCTTTCAATAGTCAGCAGCGTACAGAGGCTGGAATGATCTGCTGCAGGCCGGCCCGCGGCTGCGTGCGGGGAGCACTGCAGAGCCAGCCAGCACCAGCCGCTGCAGCGGCTGACTGGACCCAGCAGCAGGATCTTCAGGTTGAAGGGATCTTGCTCAAACTTTCCAGAAAGTCTTGCTTGGGGCTGAGCCGGGGCCTCTGTCCGGCAGGTGAGAGCCGAGCAGGGAACAAGCTGGAAGCCGGGCGCGAAGGTGCCCCTCCAGGGTATTCGGGGCAGGGCTCATGCTTTGGGACTTGTGGGCTTGTTCTTTCGTGTCCTTCTGCTGGGCCTGGGAGGCCCGGAAGGTGAAAGCCTTTAGCTCCTTGGTTTCCCCTACACAGCTCGGGCCTGCCCAGCCTCCTCCGTCTTCCTTGGCTGGAGGACTGCCAAGCAGTGGGGAGCGCTCCCTACTATCTGGGGAAGGGGCTGCAGCCTGCCCACAGAATTGCAGCACTGTAGTGAAGACGCTGGAAGCCGATGAGACAGCTTCTCCTGGCCGCGTAGTTAACCCACTTCCACGAGAGGTGGTAGCTGTGCCGGCAGACACTCTGCCATCGCCGACGCGCTGTCTACACAGGGGTCAGGTCGGTGTACGAGTGTGGCTCAGGGGGGTGGATTTCTCACAGCCCTGCGCACCCCTGATCTAGGTCTGCAGTGTAGGCCTGGCCAGAGAGGTGTGAAGAAAAGCAAAGTGTCAGAGCAGGCTCTGTGAGAGTCCCTGCCTCACCCCACCCCACCCCACCCTGACACCCACATGGAACATGGGACCTGCCTGCAAAGCAAAAACTCCTGCCAGGCCTCTTCAGCTGTCAGAAAGGCGCCAAACCCACGCAGTGCTGTGCAGCACACCTGTATGCATAGCAGGTGCTTCACAAACTCCACACAGCAGCACTGAAATGCAGCCACCTCTGGGGTGGATGATAGGAGCCAAGCAGAGCATTGCGCCCGACTGGACAAGGAGGACAGCCATCTGTGGACGTACATTGGCCTGCCCTTGCTCTCTGCTCCCCTCCTCCCTCCCCCAGGCTTCCCACATAGTCTCCTGCTGCGAGTGTGAGAGCCTTCTCCACTGCAGTTCCTGCTGGCTGGAGCAGCCTCTCTCCACATCATTTCAAGCTTGTGCTGGACCCTGGGTCTTCTCACCTGCGCAGGGCTGCGTGATCAGCTCTGCAGGACAGGGCGGGCGGGGTGCAGGTGGTACCAGACTGCAGGAGAGCTGCGTTTGGCTCCTCTGGGCTGTGCAGGTGCCATGGGCCTGTGGGGGGAGTGGCATTGCCCCATGCCATGCTGCTGACCTTGAATGCAAAACCAGGGCTCCTGCACCACTTCCCACTGCCTGCTTGGTATGTGTGTGACCCGGACAGGGGTCTCGGCCCAGCTGGGGACAGGTGTTCGTCCAGACAGCCCTGCAGGAGCAGCCTCTCCCCGCCCTTTCTGACCTGCAGTTTGGGGCCCAGGCAGGCAGCTTCCTTCCTGCCAGTCTCTGTGCCAGGGGGAGCCGGCCTCAGCCATGTAGCACACACCCCACCTGCTCCCCACACTGCCCTGTGTTCACCTCCACGCCTGCGGAGTCGGCGTCCCTGCCCCGGGACATGCCCTCGCCCCCAGCTGGCTGGCTGCCACACCCCACACACACCCCCACTCCACACACACTGCCCCCGTGACACTCACCCCTCACCCTTCCCTGGGACATGCCCTCGCCCCCAGCTGGTTGCCTGCCACCCCCACACTCAACCCCCTACACCCTGCGACACACCCCACTCCACACACACCCCACGCCCTGCCCGTGGGTCACATCCTCGCCTCCAGGAGGCTGCCTGCCACACCCACCAGGCCGTGCAACACACACACACCCACCCCATTAAATCCACAGCCGGCATGTGCTCCCTCCCCGCCACCCCCATACACACGGACACACCCTACAATCCACACAGCCCCGACCCCGTGCTGCGCCCCCCAGGCACGCAGACCCGCCTGCTCCACACGGCCTGGGCCCAGCGCCGCGCTGCAGGCTGGCCACGTGCTGGCTGATATAAATACCCAGCCGGGTGTTTTCTTTGGGAGCAGGACCATCCCCAGAGCCGAGCGGAGAGAAACCAGCTGCCTCCCCTCCCCAAACCCACAAGTGGGCCCCTGGCCCGGAGCCCCCGGCAGCCCAGAGCCAATAGCAGGGCTGCCTGGGCCCGGGAGGAGCCCTGAGCCCCAGCCAAATCCCACAGAGCAAGCCTCAGCTCCCCCCCCGCCACACGGGATATTTATAACAACAAGCAGCGCCTTGAGCCGTGTGTACAGAGCAAGCCAGCCCGGCCCCGCCACTGCCATGCCCAGCTCCTGAGGACGCTTTGCTCCCAGTCCTGGGACGCCGGGGGCACAGCAGGGTCTCTGCCCAGCCGGCCAGGCCACCACGCGTGGCCAGGAAGGGATTTCAGACCAGTGAACTGAGCTGCCAGCCTGTGCACAAGCCCCCCCGGGCACAGACCCCACCGGGCTGGGGGAGGATCCCGGCCCTAGTGTCCCGGGGCACAGACCCCACCGGGCTGGGGGAGGATCCCGGCCCTAGTGTCCCGGGGCACAGACCCCACCGGGCTGGGGGAGGATCCCGGCCCTAGTGTCCCGGGGCACAGACCCCACCGGGCTGGGGGAGGATCCCGGCCCTAGTGTCCCGGGGCACAGACCCCACCGGGCTGGGGGGAGGATCCCGGCCCTAGTGTCCCGGGGCACAGACCCCACCGGGCTGGGGGAGGATCCCGGCCCTAGTGTCCCGGGGCACAGACCCCACCGGGCAGGGGGAGGATCCCGGCCCTAGTGTCCCGGGGCACAGACCCCACCGGGCAGGGGGAGGATCCCGGCCCTAGTGTCCCGGGGCACAGACCCCACCGGGCTGGGGGAGGATCCCGGCCCTAGTGTCCCGGGGCACAGACCCCACCGGGCTGGGGGAGGATCCCGGCCCTAGTGCCCCAGGACAGATCCCGCTGCCCTCGGGGGCTGTGTGGGTGAGGCCCGGTGGTGCGAGGGCTGTGCTCAGGAGACGGGCTGTGAATCTTGGCCCCAGTGACCGCTCCGTGGTTCCTGCCCCGCCCCTCCCACCCAGCTGGGGACCCACGGCTCTGACGCCAGGATCCACCACCCCTGGTCGTGCCCCTGGGTAGCTCTGTGTAGGGGCGTCCGTCATGGCCCTGCACCCGGCCCCAGGGACAGGGCCTCACCATGGCCCAAGGAGCGAGGGTACCACAGATGGCCGAAGGCGCCTCTCCCACAGGGGACTGCAGGAAAGGAGCACGCGCACACCCATTCACCCACACTCACACCCATTCACAACCAGACACAACTCCCACACACAACCACTGGCACACCCAAGCACAATCATGATCACCCACGTTCACCCCTGGATGTAACTCCCGCGCGTAATCACTGTCACCCCCCACCCGATGCAACACCCACACATGATCATAGTCACACCCAGACATGACACCTATGCCCAATCACTGTCACACCCAGACACAACAACTGTACACAATCACTGTCACACCTGGCTGCAACTCCCACACACAACCACTGTCACACCCAGACATGACACCTGTACATAATCACTGTCACAGCTGTTCACTGAATACACTACATCCCCCCACCCACAAGTCCTTGTCATACCCATTTGCAATACCCTATCACTGTCACTAGTAACTGTTAATGGGGAGTCATCATCCCGTAGGGTTGTTTCCAGTGGGTCCTGCAGGGATCCATTCTCTGGCCAGTGCCATTCAACGTGGTTGTGCGCTGGAGGACACGTTGTTATGACGTTAATTAAATCCCATTGTGATTGATAGGTGGGAACTCACCCTTGTAAGCATAAACCCCTACTCAAGACAAAACAGGGTGTGTGCACCAGCCCAGAAGCTTTTGGCTGAGTACTCTTTTAAGGGTGGGGGTCTGCAGGGAGATGATATAGAAATTGAGAACAGACAAGAACAGAGAGTGGGAGAAGCAAGAAAGTCAAGCAGGAGCCTGTGAGCACAGTGCGAGCCTGGAAAAAGCTAGAGAGCTTTTGGGTCTGGTGCTGGCTAAAGAGGCTTGGGGCTGTAAACGAAGAAGCTGCTCCTTTTGATCTCGGTTCCTCCTGTGTTCAGGGAAGCAGGACTTTGTTTATTTACAAGCAATATACAAAGAGAACACCAGACCA